TTGAAGACCCAATCCACGTACGTCGTAGAGGTGGAGCTAAGCCCTTCCTGCTTCGTGGCTCTTGTGCGTGACAGACAGGTCACGACCACCACTATGGCCTAGGCCTGCAACTCTTCACTGTCGAGAATGATCAACAAGGACGCGAGGCACGGTGGTGTATCCGGCTCCGCCCAAACGACAAGCTTGAAATGTACTCTTAAACGAAAGTAGCTAATCGCATTAGAGAAAAAAGTGTCATCGCAACTGCTTCTTAAGAAACAGTTGGAAAAGGGACTGCAGATCATTTGCTTTGCTATGCATGCACACGAAAGAGTTGTTGAGAAATCTTTAGGCATCGACAAATCAAACAACCAAACACGTGGAGATGATCGGCCGACACCAAGTCCAGCTGTCCATCGTGAGAACGTTGAAGTCCCTGCAAAGGCGCGAGCCTCAGATCTGCGTGCTCGTTTCGAGAAAATGGCGACCGCTGACGTGAGTTCAGTCGTGCATCTTCCTTTTGTTCATGTTCTGCTAATGGGAGCTAGCCAAAAAGGTTGCTCCTGAATGAGTTCCTCGGAAATTTAGGTTCTCTTGGATTTTCGGAATATCTGAAATCCGAAGTAGGATTCTGACTATTTTGTGCTACCGTAAATTCAACATTCATATGGCTAAAAAATGCCTTGTTGTCAGCTCATTGAATACCCTCTTAGTATTTTTGTGATTCTGAATAGTTTCTCGGAAACAGCCTCCGAAACAAACCCATTTTTCTTGAGCCTTCTTGAACAGGCCTTTTAATTGACCTTTCAGACTGTCGATCGTGTTGCGGCTGAGCGAGAGAGAAGAAAGCGTGAGGACCAGGAACTGCAAGAGCGCCAACGACGTGAAGAGGTGAGCCGTTGAGATCATGAGGAATTCAGAAGTTTTGTTAAAATATTTGTCGTTCATCAAACACACTTCAAAAAGGATTACCTGTATTATCTTGATCATACAAGGAACAAGCAAAAGCCCTCTCAGCCTGTTTTCTTCTTGGTCGAAAAGTTGAGTTCGCCTCACTCCTTAGTAGAAATGATGTACAGAAAATGATGTAAAGAATGAGGCCCTTTTTGCTGCCGATTCTGAGCATCGGATAAGCATGCCAAGGACTGACCAGCACGGAGACATGTTAGCGTTGGTGAGGGGCCAGAGACGGAGGATGAGAGATTAGAAAGATGACAAAAAACACATTCGTTATTGAAGTTCAGCTGTGGGTGGTATCGGAATTAGCGGCCATTCTCTTCGAATTAGTAGATGAAATGGACATGAGCTGGAAAACTATGTACTACAAGTACAGTTGATCTTAAACCAACCGCTGTTATTTCGACAACTCTGGGACTCATCAGTGAGGTGGGGGTGATATACAGACATAGACAATGGACATGAGGGGTGGTCGTTAATATCGAGCAAAAACAGAAAGTTGGTAAACATGACATTCAATCGCGTACATAAAGGCAATGCTGCGATAACAGCATAAGAAGAAACTGGAAGTTAGGTGAGGTTCGGTGTAGGAAATGCCCAGAAAGCAAGATAAAGAAGTCGTGAAAGCGGTCCCTGCGATTGCGCACTGAGTTACTTTATATAAGGAAGGTATCGCGAGAGAAGAATCCTTCTTTTCTCATACCCGACAGTGTCTTCAAGTCCTTAGTGAAATGACGAAAGAAAAAGTAATGGCACCGACCACAAAAAAAACAATTCTATAATCGCTACTAGATTTTGCATGTTTGAGTGTCCGCGATATGACTTGGCTCAGGCCAAACCGGAGGCTGAACCGCGTTAATCAAATAAAATTATCTGTGAGGTGCTCAGAACTTCTTCGTTTTTTTCAAGGAATTAAAGGCTGTAGGCACGATAAATCCCTAAGAAGAGTGGGATTAATACGCTTGGCAGGACAGAATTCAACCCCCTAAGCAGGCGCTGCGTAGCGCCTTTTCAAAGGAGGTACCCTTATCAAGCTGCGCATAGCCCTGGACGCCCCTACCACGCCCACCTGCCCACAAATGGACGACTGCACCTAATGCTCGTATTGCTTCATTTGCGAAGAAAAATATGAAGCGAAGGTATTCTTATAAGGTGGCCGCGTGTTGCATGCATAATCAGTAAAGCGTGCCAGCCGTACGACGAGGGAAACTCTCCGAAATTATTACGCTTCTGGTCAATGAAGACCGAACCGCCTTTTTTCTTGATCGCTTCAACTTCGTTTTTTCACCTTTCCCAATTATAAGCACTCTGCTAGCATTTTAGACCGAGTACCAAATTATCGTGCCATATGCCTTCAAATATTTACAAAAGGCAGGAACGAAAATTGTCTTAGGATGATGTTTTGAAAGTTTTTCTTCTAGGAGGAAAGACAACGTCGCAATTGATGAAAACTGGAAAAAGCAAGAAATGCGAACAATCAGGTCGATTACGAGCGACAGCCGAGCTGAAGAAGATGCGAATGAACGAGCCCATTTAGTGAGTGATTAAGCTAGGAGATTAATGGAATCATGCCGTATTACTGAGCCAAATGTCAAGCCAAATTCCATTCCACATACATGGGGATGAAATGTGTTATCGGGCGCTTGCCAGGCAGGCTTTTTTCACTATCTTGGCAGGCGTGCGATGTCTAATGGGTGGGTTTGGATATTGTCACTAAAATTACGTTCAAATGGAAGTCGTAGCGGAAGAATCTGGTTAGTGGATGGTAAGGGTGCACTTGCTTATCGTTCCCTCCCAGGTAGTTTCTCCAACGTAATTGCAGTACGTCCTTCACGTTTCGTGGAATCACTGAGTGGTAAATACATGGTGCTAAAGCTTGGTGAGCTGAGTTTTCTAAGGGAGTACGCTATCAGTAGGTGCAACTCAAGTGGAAATAATGGCATCTGAAAGATCCAAATGGAAATGCCTTAATGGCACCCCGCGCGTTCAGGAATGGTCTGAGGCAAATACTGGTGACAAGATGGCTACTGAGGCAAAAGTGAAGAAGAACGGAAATAGCAGCTCGGAATACCTCACATCGAACCTCATGTGGGACCGCATTTGTACTAAAGCGAAGAGAGGGCATAGTCGGACGGCTGCTCACATCTAGGTGCGAGCTCTTTCCTTTTATCACCTCACTCTCACCATTTGGAATGGGCAGGGTGTAAAAATAGGTGTAAAAACATAACAAACATAGGTGTAAAAACCGCACCATCAGTTAGTAGGTAAAAAGAAAGATGGGCCAGTGGGCGGGAGGTGACCTCGTCGTGAAGGGGTCGCACTTTCCTCACGTTTGAGCTGCGATAGTCGTACAGCCCCATGCTTGCGAACAGAACTACCATCTCCGAAAAAGGCGTCTGAACATTAAATGAGCGCGGAAAGTGCCTTTAAAGGCACTTCACTAAAGTTCTGGACTTATTCCCCGTGCACGGTTGGGTGGGAGAATCAGAAACGTCCTCTGATTAATAGTTTTTTCAGCAGAATCAAACGAAACGTCGAAGTGCTGGACCTGCGCCAGGGGCCGTTGCGATCATGCCAGGTGTTGCAAAGCCCATGACACCTAAAGAGCCACCACAGCCTATAGAAGAAGTACCGGTGAGTCTTATTTTGCTTTTGCTGATCACTACATCTATCAGTCGCTACTGTACAGGAAGCTCCACATCCTGCACCTGTGTCTGTTCTGCCTCCCATTGGACACGGAGTTTCCCACACTCCATCGGTTCCACAAAACACTTTCAATCCTGCAAGTGCGTTTTCGCAGTACTGATTCGCTCATAGTGGTTTATTGGAATGATAGGGTAATTGCTTTGATCTTTTCAGCACTTGCTTGCGAACTTCGACGTCCTCCTTCCAGCGACGAGGAGGACAATGATGCAGACTGGGAAGATGAAGATGCTGCTAAGGTATTGACTTTGAGGTTTTATCGGGGTATCATTAGTGATCCATGTTGTGGGCGGTACCAAAGCGAAGGTGGCGTTGTAAATAATGTCATGTGCGATGCATGACTATCCTTGAATCAAAGTTTTTCAGGCACAGCCTCATGTAAGGCCAGCAGCAGCAGCTCCACCTCCTCCTTCAATTCCTGTTGCTGAGGAGGTGAGCTATTGACCTTGTATTTTCAATTTTTCAGTATCTTTACAACCAAACCTTCGAGGAGGGGTGTGTCCTTGTGCGAATGTTGAAAGGTTGCGAAGCGCGCTTGCTGAGCAGGGAAAGGGCCCTACTAGCAACACTGTGAGCAGTAAATATTCTGTTGGTAAAATTGGATGGCCGTGGTCGTAAGCTGCCGCCCAGGAACTTACGTAATGTTTTTGGAATAAAGAAGAGAAAGTTGCCAAAGGACTCGACTGGGAAGAGACACTGCAAAAGGGAACTGGGAAACTCCCGTAGAACCTTAGCGTTGAAGGCATGCGGTGCATTTCTGATAGATGCCTGTTCATTGTCCTATGTGAGGTGGAATGGTTCGAACTGCTTGTACATGCGCATTTTCTTCTCATGCTCGAAATGGAATGGATGGAGGGAGGGTAAATGTATCCGATTACATCTCGCATACTCTGCTCGGCGCTCTGCGCACAGCCAGCCAGCATTGTGGCCTGACCATAGTACTTGTCTGACCACCTCGCTTCTGCGTTTTCTGCTTCGGCGTGATGCGTGTTTCGCTGCGGGACTGGCATCCACACAAGTGCTACACACTGAGAGTAGCGCGGGCGGAGTATGAAAACAGCACCACGGTAGCGCTTCACTCCAGCTTCATTCCCGTACACTTTCGAACGGAGAAAATGGCACGCTACTAAAGGTACGGACCCGTCTACCTGGCACACGGATCGATCGTTCATGGAGTTGAGTGTACAGTCTATATTTAGGCAACTTTACAGGGCGAAAAAGTAAGCGCATCGGGACAAACCCGGCTGATTTTCTATAGTGAGCCCTACCATACCGATATCAACAGTGGAGATTCCATTCCATCTAGTAGCATAGTTTTTCGATGGAGGCGGTCTTTGATGCGGCACGCCATCGCGTTGTGATCATTTTCTGAAAATTACGACCCCCCAATTCCATACTAAAATACGACCCCCTTTTTGGGAGTTGGTACGACCCCCCCCCCTCCCAGCCCTCTGTCCTTCCTCATCGAACCGAGCCGTCGAGCGGGGGGGGGGGCGAGAATTTAAACTACATTTTCAGTGTCGAATAGTAGTGCGTCCTGGACTGACGCAAATACGCCCCTCCAATGCCAAAGTGCGACTGGCGACCCCTCTTTCAGCGTCCGTGCACAAAGAGAAATCAACTATCAAAAATTTTTCTCTGCAAACCGACCCCCCCCTCCTTTTCTGCGTCAAATACGACCCCCCCCTTGTGATGGATCACACTACGATGGCGTACCTGCTTCTGATGACAGTGTTAGAGGTAGAGTTCCCTGGAAAACTGAGGTGTCAATTGGAGAACTCTTTGGCACCGTTAATTACAACTTTCCGCAACGCAGATATTCTCCGGCTTCAATCTTGCTGTAGCCTCGGCATGGTTGTTTACTGTAATTATACCGTTGTGGCTCTCGAGGTTTTCATTCAGAAATTTTTTTCGAGGTCCTAACGTCTCGACTCGGGTAGTATTCTTCGGAGGCCATGATTCCAGCGGTGATCTGTACTATCTAAGCGAAAAAAAAGAATTCGCGCTGGAGTAGCATCATATCAGCAACAGCGGCTCAACCTCTAAACTCTGAGCCTGGAAGAAGACCACCCAACGTCGAAAAATTGGGTCGCTGCATAAAGTTCTTCAAATCCTGAGAGCTTCCTCTTGTTTTGCCTCTCATGACTTGTTTTGTGAAAAATTTCCCCTAAGTTTCTTTCTGCAGCCGAAGTCTCATGCACCCACATCAGTGGTTGAACCTGCACCTCCTACGTTCTCAGCTCATCACGATTCACCACCTGATAACGTAAGTGACTGTTACTTCACTTTCATGACAACTGCGTAAAACAAAGCAAACTACGAAATGCAAAAGGCAGGCTCTTCCCACAAGAATTTCGTCAGCTTTTCCTAACAGTGGTTTAAATCAGCCAAGTAAGTAGCGGCGTCCCCCCCTAAATATTTCATTGACACTATAACGCGAATGCTTCATCAAAATAATCAACTACATGAAAAAACGTCTTTTCATAATGTAAAACATTTTGAAAAACGACTGATAAACCAAGGAGATTAAACTTGCTGATAAAACGTTGAGAAGTTTCAGCTCATGGAACAAGATGCTTATAAAACCAACATATTTTTGAAAAAATGAAAAAGAAATGCATTTGTGGGTAGGTAGCATTGGCAAGGTTCTAGGCGAAGGCGACGCCTTAACGTCACCCCCCCCCCACTAAAACTTAGAAGGAGAAAGTGTATAAATGAGTATAGTCATTAAGATACTATAAAAAATCATATCAAAATCTTATTATTTATACGCAGAACATGGTGTATGTATTCAAATTTTATATGATTGGGTTGTTTATTCAGGTTCCTAGTGGTACCACTGACATAAGTGATTCACGTGGAGATCCGCTGAAAGGACCCGCTCACCCATTGGATCCTGCCCTCGGCCTTACAGCCATCGCCATTTACGACTACCAGAAGAATGACGACGATGAGATCAGCTTTGAGCCGGATGACATTATCACGAATATCGAGCAGGTGGCATTCTCATATATTCCTTTTGATTTCTCCTAGAGGCAGTGGGCACGATGGGTGGGGGGGTGGGGGGGGGAGGGGGAAGGGTGCGATTAGTGTGAGCGTCATTGGTGGAAGAGCTGAGTGAGGTGTGGCCAAACGCCCTCTCGCAGCCCTTCCACCAATGACGTTGGCAGTAACCGCCCGCCTCAGCCATCGTGCCCACAGCTTCAAAGACAGTCCGCGATAACTGGACTGGCGGAAATTGGGGGAATTTTAATGTTTTAAATTGATTTCCGACTGTTGGCGTAATCATCTTTCATATTGAACATGTATCATGCTTGAATGCCTTATCTGATAAAAATATTAGAAAAATGTGTTTTGTGTGATTTCTCCAGGAAAATTGCGAACTGGAGTAAGGAACAAGGAGGATTACGAATCCTGTTGACCATAGTGCAGCACGCCAATGCCGCTCCGTGTACAAACTCACGTAGCCGCGTATGCGGCGCGGCGGTTCTTCACGGCATCCAGCCCGCCAGGGCGGTGAAGGTGATCGCATGCGCCATCCGTCCAGTGTGCTTCAATCAGAGTCCCTTTTATGCCCCTTATGTGGAGAAGAGGGAGAGAAAGAGGGATTGAACAATAGTGAACGCTCCGTAGTGACTTTAGTGGTAATGGTGAGCGAGCGAATATTGGAAAAGTGAGAATCGAGAGCGTATTATTCAGATCCACACGCGGAACTGGCAGAATGATTCCCTTCGAATGGGAC